AAGACTTTTCTGTTCCCTTGCCTCCTGTAGGCAGAATTAGTTGCTCCTCCTCTGTGCCCCATGACAGACAGCGCAGTCACAGTTCATCTTAATCAGATTACTCCATGAATCTGTACGCTCCTTTTGATCAGGAATCCTGCCTCCTTGGTCTTTTAATCCCCACGATTTTGCCCTGTACCTCACACACAGGAGATCCTCAAGTTTTTGACTAACTGGTAATTGGTCCAAATTTTCTACAGTGTATGGCTTTGTTGTGGTTTATCATTTATACATGTAGTTCTGTTGTAAAGAGTTATAAATAATGTATTTCAGATTTTTAAAAACATTTCTTACAATTTTGGTTTCCCCGCCCCCCAATTTTTTTCTATTACAGTTGACATTCAATATTATATTAATTTCAGGTGTACATCATACTGATTAGACATTTCTATGACTTATGTAGTGATCCCCCTATAAGTGTAGTACCCACTTGGCACCATACATAGTTATTACAATATTACTGACTATATTCCCTATGCTATACTTCATACAGGTATGGTTTAATATAGGTGATGTAATAAAATCTACATAACAATTGCATTTTGCAATTTTTCAAGTCAGTTATTCATTTTTCTTATTATTTAGTCCAGGCAGCATATATCATTTTGAAGTTTCTTTATTTGGTTGTTTTAATATATGCATGCCCCCAAATCAAGGCAATTATAAGAAAGTATCCATTTTAGAGGCAAAATGTATGAATAATGTTGAGTAAAAGGTTTCATATAAATATATAAACTTTCCTTCCTTTTTTATCTTATTCCTTTTTATATGTTTTTATAGTTTTTAAGTAACATATTTCAGTAGATGATGGTTCAAAAATTCAAAAGGTACAAAGGGCATACAACGAGGAAGTAGCTCTCGTGCCACAACTGTGTCCAGCCAACCTTGTGCATACTTTCAGAAACATTCCCTACATAAATAAATATAAATAGATACATATGTACTCACAAATATGTATTTTACATATGTATTAATAACAATTAATAACCACAAACATTGTTATGCATACTATGTTTTTTACTTAACATATCTTGGCTTTTTATTCATATCAGTGCTTATCCTTTTGTTTATCTTTAACCAGAAGTTATGGAAAATGAGATATACTTGAACCCTTTAAGAAAGCTTTAAGTATTTCCATGTGTAGAATAGAGATAGTTCTTGCCAAATAATAAAATGACAGCTATAGGAATGTTTCCCCTTGTAGATCATCTATTCAATAGAAAGATAATGTGATAATTATATATGTAATTTTAAATACTCCAGTAGCTACTTAAGAAAAAAAATGAAAAGAAACAGGTGAACCCAATTTTAACAATATCTTTTATTTAACACATTATATCCATAATATTACTGTTATAACATGTGGGCGGGGGGTGGCAATTATTAAGCTACGTTACATTCTGTTCTTAGTCTTTGAAATTCAGTGTGTATTTTGCACTACAGCATACTCAGTTTGAACTAGCATGTTTCTAGTGCTCAATACCAGATTTGGCCAGTAGCTGCTGTATTGGGCAGTGCAATTCTAGACCTTAACTTACCAAAGGTTTTAACTAGCTGAAGATAGAGGCCTCCTGAAGGTGGCTAAGTCTGGAGGGATTGAGACATATGGAAGGCCCAAGACATTCAAGGCAATAGCTACCTTCCTTTCCTGACCTGGCTGGAAAGACAACTTGCGGCTCTCTGAAAAATACTGATAGGCAGATGGAAAACCTGAAAGAGACAGGGACCTCTAGAGTTGGTTCCTAAAGCATAGCTCCTGCTTCACCAAAAAAGAGCAACTCTGTCCCCAAATGACAAACTAGTCCAAACTATAAGTTTAAAAGTTGCACAGCCTGGCTAATGTGGCTCAGTTGGTTGGAGCATTGTCAAGTGCACAGAAAGGTAGAGGGTTCAATTCCTGATCAGGGCATATAACCAGGTTGCAGATTCAATTCCTGGTCAGTGTGTGTACAGAAGGCAATTGATATGTTTCTCTCTCCTCCCCTCCCCTCCCCTCCCCTCCCTTCTCCTCTCCTCTCCTCTCCTCTCCTCTCCTCTCCTCTCCCTCTCTCTTTTCCCCTTCTTCTCTAAAAAACATAATAATAAAGAGGCTCCATTTATTTTTAAAAAATGGCACATGTTATCCCGCCACCTTCTACCTATGTATGCTCCCCACTCTCAAGTCAGAACAGCCTTTTTCTACCAAACTTCAGTTACTTACAGAACCTAACCCTTAGTTTCTTTGCTATCTTTTGTGCCAGGGAATCAGGTGCTACAACTGTCTGCCATCAGCATGGCCTTGCCTTATATCCCAAAGGCCCCCAACCCCATGCAAATAAGAGTTTTATGCTGTACTCCGTCTGGCAGACAGCGGGGACCTCCTCCTCATTGTATTCCAGGGGGAAATGGCTGTCCACACCCTCTATGGCACCAGTGGTTCTCAACCTTCCTAATGCCGCGACCCTTTAATACAGTTCCTCATGTTGTGGTGACCCCCCAACCATAAAATTATTTTCGTTGCTACTTCATAACTAATTTTGCTACTGTTATGAATCGTAATGTAAATATCTGATATCAGGATGTATTTTCATTGTTACAAATTGAACATAATTAAAGCATAGTGATTAATCACAAAACAATACGTAATTATATATGTGTTTTCCGATGGTCTTAGGCGACCCCTGTGAAAGGTTCGTTCATCCCCCAAAGGGGTCGCGACCCACAGGTTGAGAACTGCTGCTCTATGCTATGCTTACACTATTTAACCCAATCTACTGGCACTAGTCTATGTATCCTACTGTTTGCCTCATGCAACTACATAACAACCTCTATTCTAAGAAGCCCTCTGATTATGAGCTTTTTCTGGATTGTTATATTCAAACTGCAGCTTTGAAAGGGAATTTTTCTACCTAGAAAAAATACTAAGGAAAACCTAATAAGAAAAAGCCACAATAGGCACCCAGGGAAGCCAATCTCTAAGTTAGAGGCTGTAAGGATCCCCTTTACACTTATAAGGATGTGTGGACAGCTTGAGTAAAGAAATACTGAAGGACCTTCTCCCAGCTCTGAGACTCTCAGGTTCCATGAATACAAATTTTCTCTCCATGATTGGGACTGGAGCTCATGTTTCAAAATAGACCTATACTAAAATATCTTAGCGTCATATAGAATACCTTCCATCAAGGAAGATCCCTGTAATCTACCATATTTTTGAACAGTTTACAATATGTCTGTGTCATGAACTGACTGTACCAGGCAGGAAAGAGCAGTGTTCTGCGTGAACGCTGACTTCTTGCGGCGTGCTAACACTTTGGTGTCCTTCTCAAAACGGACGGGCTTCCTTTTCCAAACCTAGACCTAGTTTGTTACACTGGATACGGGGGCCGCTGATTTAATTCAGAAACGCTTCTCTGGTGCCCTCCAACACGGCTGCCAATCAGACTCTTCTGCACGTTAATAAACAGCTTTGGGAACCCACCCTTCTCCTCGCTGCGCTGCACCAGGTTCTGCAGCTCCCCTGGCTCCGAGGGCGCTGGGCGGGACCTGGCGGAGGAGCTGACTTCTGGCTGTGAGCACCTTGCGAATGGCGGGCAGGACTCCTGCTCCTGGAAAGCTTGCACTTGCTATGCTGCTGACGGTTCCTTTGTTTTAAACGATGAAGTGAGCATGCAGTTCCCTAGCGCTGACACCTACTTAAAGTGACCTGGTCATTAAACGTGTACAGCTAACCCACCAGATAAGAGTCACCGTGCGCTGTGTGCACTGCAGTGCAGCGTCCCACCACCCTCTCCTTTTCCTGCTGCACAGCTTTCTGTCCCTTCCCCCGCGCCCCCCTCTCTTTAGTCGTCAGTGAACAGTGTATTTGTTACGCCTGAAAGGCATGCAAGGAGAAGCACAAGTCAAAATGGTTGACTTTACTCCTTTCCATTGTTCATCTAATGATTAATCTTGTTGTCCTTTAAGTCAAAAAGAAAGTCATTGATATACTCTCAGTATCACACATTGAAAGTTTTGGTGAGCCATACACGCGAAATCCACGTTTGTTTTGGCCTTACTCATCCTGGACTCCCAAGACTCTCTTCTGCTGTGGTGCTTGGGTTACTTATGTCCTGCGGTGTGTCCGGCCCGCAACTCAGATCCGCTTCCGAGCGACGGCTTCTTGAACCGCCTCTCCTGTCATTGCATGAGTCAGTGAATGTTCTTGAAAGGTAGACTAGATTAGACTATAATTATATTTTTAGAATATAATTATGATAATTACTTAAAAAGGCAAGGTTTTTTTGCTCATAGTTGCAACTTGCAGTCATCAGTTACTTTTATTGGCAGTAAAGATGTACAGTCAGTCAGATATTTTAAATAAAAACTTTATTAAAAAACCGACTTTGATGACTTCAAGTATTTTCACTAAAGATTTATATGAAAACATGCATTTATTTTGCAGGATAAGGATTTAGAACCGGACTGTCATTTTAACTTAACCTACTTTGAGTGGATATGAGATAGGTACATTTTTTTAGTTGAAGGAGATACATTTAGCTCATGTGAAGAACTATTTTTGCTACTCTGATGCTGTTCATCGAATCAATTTTTTGTTCTAAACTGACCCTCGCCTCTCAATTCTTTATTGCACTTAAGATTATGTCTTGCTAAAAAGTTGAAAACCAGTCTATAATCAGTTTGGATCATAAGAAATGAAATTGGAAATTTAGAATAGAAAGGGGCACCATTTGCTCTGGCCAAAGGTGCCCAGGTCCCTGGCACAGATTTCTTAAGGCGGATGTTGCTTAGTTCATCTTAAATACATATTTCTGGCTTTCCAGGCAGACTTGGCTCCACCTTTGTTGATAGGATCCTTAGAGAAAACAAGTATAGTATAGTCGCTTAGTCTGAATAGGTATTTATAGAATAAGCCATTGTGTGATGACAGTAGAATCAGTTAAACATACATTTTTTTCTCTTTTTATGCACTACTTGACATCAAGCAAAAAGAGGTAAGTTGGCTGTAAAACTAGAGGTGAATCTTATTTTCTTTAGTAAATATATTCCTGATAGCATTGCTTCAGTTAAATTTCTACAAATCAAATACTTTTACATTAGAAAGCTTGTCATTGTAAGTCCTTATTCTTTTCTTTGAAAAATGAATCAGCACCTTCTGTGAACTTGGATTTAAAAAATATTTAATATTTAAACATATTGCTTTTCCTTTAACTGGGCTATACATATGATTTAATTTGCTTATGAGGACATAGTACCTTTTGAAACACTTGGTTTAGTTTTGGGGTTTCTGAATTGTTTCTCCCCCAAAAATGTGGGTTATGTGTTATAATGATTTTCTTCTTGTCTTAAAAAAAAACAAAAGAAAAGAAAAAAAGAAACAACTGACATTGGTGAAAGCCTATAATTTTCAGATCCATCACAGGAAAATCAAACACATTTCCCTGAGTGGTGTCTCATATATTTTTCTTGTTTGGTGTATATTTTTACAATTGATCTTTTGAGGGAGGTTTTGGTTGTAGTTTGTTTAACTTTATCTTTCTTTTCTTTTTGATGATGAATTATCTTGACATTTCAAAGGTATAAGCGGCTCTTTATCTGATACATGCTGTTACTGACTGCTTGCTGGAGAACAGACTACCAAACCACCTTGAGTTAACTCTGTGCCATTGTTCTTGGAAAGGTCATTCCTGAAGAAAAGATAATTTTCTAATAGATGTTTAATTGGTGTAAGAATCTGGCAGCAAAATGTACTTTTACCTCTTGGTGCCACTGTATTTCATTACCCTCCCCCTCACCTCCCATGTCCTTCCTACCATAGGCTGTTGCTTACACATATGCTCATGGTTTAATTGTAGGTTGTTCAGGAGCAAAACATTAATCTGCTACTGGGCATTTTTATATTTCCTTTTTGCAAGATTTGAAATAAAAATGGATTATGAGTATTGCTTTGTCTTTCCAGCTAGTCAGATGATATTCTTCAGGACAGAAAATGGAAAGCTAGATGAAAGTTTTTGCGAAATATTTCCTGTTGCGCTCACCAAACAAGTCAGTCCAAGGCTAATGACATGACAATCAGCTGCTAAAATATTCGCTGCTGGTATTAGTGGAGAGTAATGGTGCGCCTGCGCATAAGGCACGTAAGGGAAATGAATGAGACACGATTATAGTAATCAGCCATTAGCGAACTTGTAGTTCGATATTAATAATTATGTGTAACAGGATATTGTAAAAATTAAGTTATGAAATTTTTATTAAAACGTTTCTTGCACACTGTTATATTGGCTGGGCTGCAAAAATATTTGTTGTGGGCTGCATGCGGCAAGCCGCGAGTTTGACATTCTTGGTCTAATTTATAATCACTATAAAGTCTAAAAATGCTCCCTCTTCTTAGCAAGTCATGCTTCGATTCTACATTTTTGAAGGCAGTTTTAATGTGTGTCCCAAAAGTGTGATAAACTATACACAGTTATCATTATGTAAAGGCAGAGCCAAATGTTTTTAAAGATTTGTTAGTAATATTTTTTTGCATTGTCTATACTGACATGTTTTTGTGTTTCAACAATTCTGTCTTTTCCAGAAATATTTAATGAATAATGATTATTTCTGACTACAAGGATATAAATGTGGGATTTGCCTTGTTAAACACTGATGTAAAGTTAAACCTAAGGTGTCTGGTGACATAAATTAGCAGATTATACCCCTGAGTAGTTGGAAATAATGCTATTATCTGTGGGTACTTTCTGATAAATGCATGGATTAATAGGATATGTGATATGTCTGGCAAAAAGGGATGAGATAGCTAACTCTATGTGTTTGATTATAAAATGCTAAAAGTTGTTCACAGATCTCCATTTTTATTAGTCAATGCATCATTAAATTCATCATTTCATTTAAAAAATATTTAAAATTTTTCTAACTACTGTTTATATTTATATAAATGTTTCTATCTCATGCTCTCCTTATTATTGTTTATTATATAATGTTTCTACCTTAAATTTTTCTCCTAAATTTTTTACTTTCTATGTTTGTTTTTTCAATTTGCATGTATAGGCATCCATAGGACTACATAACTGTTGAAGTTGTTACTCCTAGGAGAAAGTATTTGGATGCTTCTTTCCATTAATTTTTCTGTTAATTCAGTAACATGCTATTAATCATTTTGTAGATTTAGTGAGGAATAATTTAGTATTGGGCACATTTTAAATGTGGCAACTAAACATTTACTTTTAAAATGTATACATCAAGTCTTCATTAATTACCTGATATAACTAAATTAGCTTTAAAATCTTTATCAGGTAATATTTCCTCTTTTTTATTCCTTCTACTAGAAATATGTGGTTCTGATGACAGGAATATCTAAATTGTAAACTCTCATTTTCGAGTGGATCCATCAGACAATGGCATTAATAAAATACTAATAAAGAAACGAGTCCAAAGATCTGTTAGGGGAAGTGTAGTCAGTATATTAGAAAATATTTTTGCACCACATGCAAATTCTCCAGGCACACTACTATGGGGAAACAAAGAATGGTAAGAATTATAAGGCAAGGCCCTCGCCGCCCTCACCCTGCAGCCTGACTGAGGGAATTATGTCTACTGCGCAGATAGCAGTGGCCACAAGCTGGACACGAGAAATGCTGGTGGAGATGAGATAAGTGCTGAAGAAGTTTAGAGGAAGCAGATACTTCCTTCTGGAGTGATCAGGCTGAAACTTGTCGGTTCTGAATAGTCAGAGAGAAGGGAGACCATTTCAGATGAATGCAATGTGAGGGGCAAAGGCTTATTGAAATGATTTCATCATATAGTCTATTTGGGGCCTTTCTAATGTTCATTCTTGTTGATGAGATTTACTTTGTTTCTTGATGCTGAAAACCTCAAGGTTATCTGACTCTTCCCTTTGGTCCCTCGTGTCTAATCAATGACCAGTTCCTGTCAATGGACCCCGGGCTACATGCTTTCCCAAACGTTCTTTCACCTGATATCTGCAAGACTGGTATTTAATGTCCTTGCTTCACAGATAGAACAACTGAGACTCAGAACAGTTCCTCAGTGTCCCTCACTGGTGGTAGAGCAAGGATCTAAACCCAGAGCAGAGGTCTCTCATTACACCGAATCTCATGCTAAAATGGAGGGAAGTTGAGCAAGGGGGGGCGGGGCAGAAGAGAGAGGAAAGCAGAGAGATATAGAAAATTACTGCAGAAGCATCACTGGCAAATAGAAGGAAATTATTGTGACATACCCATTACCCATTCCCATAGATTGTGTAAAAACCTCAAGAAATATGTCAGTTGCCGAGACCGGTTTGGCTCGGTGGATGGAGCGTCAGCCTGCGGACTCGGGGGTCCTGGGTTCGATTCCAGTCAAGGGCGTGTGTCTGGGTTGCGGGCACATCCCCAGTAGGAGATGTGCAGGAGGCAGCTGATCGGTGTTTCTCTCTCATTGATGTTTCTGGCTCTCTGTCTCTCTCCCTTCCTCTCTGTGGGAAATCAATAGAATATATTTAAAAAAAAAAGAAAAAAGAAATATGTCAGTAACTATGGGAAGCAACTTTGTGCTATTATCCACAAATATCGAGAATCCCTACATTAGCGGCTTTTAAAAACTATTATGCAAGTTTTCTGTCCTTCAGTACACAGTGCAGAGAAACTTGTACTTTCTACTAACCTAATTACTCACATTTCACATCCTATCATCGATTTCGTTTTCCCCAACACCCCCGATTTGACCACCTTTACATCTTTCTAAAGTGCTTTTTGCTAAGAAAAAAGTCTGCTGAAATTCAAGTGCAGATTTTCACTTAGAATTTGTGCTCTGGCCTTCTGTATATATCCTCTCATTTGAGTTTCCTTGAATTAAAACATTTATTTATTTCAACCCTTGGACTAATTAGATCTTAGAAGAACTCAAGAGAAGTTCAATTATTGGTTTATTAGGACAAAAGAGTTGGCAGAGTAAGAGAGAGTAATAACTGCTTTCACTTTGGATCAAGTACAAAGGCTCTGCATTAGTTAGACTGAGGAGCTTAAACAATAGACATTTATATTTCTCCAAGTTCTGCAGGCTGGAGGTCTAAGATCAAGGTGGGGACAGGTTTGGTCTCTCCTGAGGCCTCTCCTGTACATGGCTGCCTTCTCACTGCCTTTTATCTGTGTGAATGCATCCCTGGGTCTCTCGGTGTGTGCTAAACTCCTAATCTCCCCTGCTTATAAGAGCATTTGTCAGATTGGATTAGTCACCCTACCTTAAGTATGTCTTTAGAGATCCTATCTCCAAATACGGTCATATTCTTAGGTACTGGGTTAGTGTCTCAACATATGAATGGGGAGGGGGCACATAGTCAGTTTATATAACAGGCACGATGGGGCATTCTACTGAAAGGGCACGGGGTGGACAGTCAGAAACCTGGGCTCAGGTTCTCACTCTGTTCCTCTTTCTGTGGGCCCTCAGAAAAATCACTTAACTCTTCTGATCCACAGTGTTCTAATCTGTAAAATGGGCATTATGACAACCGAACTCAGTTGAGTATTCTGAACACTAAAAAGATTTTGTTCACTATAATCACCATACAGAAAGTGACTGTTAAGACCAGATTTCAGGATCCCCAAAAGACCATCAGGGAGCCGAGTCTGATGCAAAAGCAAAAGAGCCTTTATTCGAGCTAGCTTGAGCTCCCCGTCCACCACACTCACCGACACAGCGGCAGGAGGTAGAGAGAGAGCGAGAGCTCTGTGGGGAGAGGGGTTTTATAGGGGGGCTGGAGTCAGGGGAGGAGAGAGGACTGTGGACCCTGCCGATTGGCCAGGCGCAAGTCGGGGTCTTGTTACACAGGATGTGGTTGTGTCTATCGCACGCACTTCCCTTGATTATCATTGGTTAGTTTAAAGAAATCCTAGGTGTGGCTACCAGAGGCTTGGGCTTCCGGGAAGAAGCTCCTTGTTGAGCACATGGCTAATGGCTGCTGCCCAAAAATGGAGGATCCGGGGCAAGATGGAGG